TAGGCAATGCATCTATTTAAATGAATGCCAACATAACTTCGACAATATACTCAATATGTTCACTATAAACATCTCAATAAAGTGAGTAATAGCTTTCCCTATTTCCCAAAAAAAAAAAAGGTATTATTTGCCTAACTTCACTAATTTCAAAAGGAGGTATGAATTTTCTCAGCTAATGGAAGAATTTCACATACACGAATAGTTTGGTATGGAATTTCCTTTATGTAATTGGTGCGACTTTGCTTCCTGGAAGAGGAGGCAATCAGGGATGAGCGAATACCTTACGTCACAAATTGTATTCTTCTTTTGAACCATGCAGCAGGGGGAAAAATTGCTAAGGCTTCGTTTGGGACAGTTTTTTTATTGCTTTCTAAAACGGAGTTTTAGTACCAAAAAAAAAAATTGTACTAAAACTCCGTTTTAAAGAGCAATAAAAAAGCCGTCCCAAACGAAATCTAAGTCTCACAATAATGAATACAGCTAAAAATCTACTTCACTTTTAAAGACGATAGATATTGAACAAAAAAATGATCAGCATACATTGAATCGATTGAGGTTTTTATCGAAGGAGAAAAAAGAATTAAAATGGTTTTCAAAGTTTAATTTTTGTTTAAAGAAATTTAAAGCGCATTCTTATTAAATTTTTATCAATATTATCAACTTATTTTTCTCAATTAATAAATTCACATAATTTATATTATTCAATTTAAATTTTATTGATCAAATTAAATTGAATAAAACTATATTATGCAATGTATGATATGGGTGTGAACGAGATGAGTCAAGCTTGAGTCATCTCTGTCTTGAGCTTGAGCTTGATTAATTAATCGAGTTTGAATTTGAACTCAAGCTTTATTCTATAAGTTCGAGCCACCTTGTTTGTAGTAAAATAGAGAAAATGATTATTATTTAAGCAATTATTATGATAAAATAATAAAAAGAATGGTAAATTAGAAGAAAAAATAATAAAAAATCAGTTAACATAAGAAAGTGAGATATACATTTTGAGTATATTTTATACTGAATTGCAAGCTAACGATTCGATTCAGCCAATCTAGGCTAGCTCAACCTTGAATCTTTAGCTCACTGAGCTCGGCTCATTAGCCATTTATCGAGTCGAAGTCAATTAAGTTAGCTCAAGAGTTGATTTGACTTAATTACACCTTTAATGTATGATATATCATTAGCCACCGAACGTAATCATCGTTATTCTCAATTCATTCACTCCTTATGAAATTTATCTTGTTGAGCCAAAATTAAAATCATTTGAATTAAATTGAGTTGTGATGACCCTTACCAACAATGTGAAGAGTTTAAATAGAAGTTAAACTTCTTTTTTTCTTTAAGTGTGCTTTGCGCTAAGTGGCTGTAAATTCAAACAGAATAAGTTATAAATTTAATATTTCATCAATACGTCAACGCTTAGGACTTAGGGTTACACCTAACATTAGGACGCATTCCAATAGGGTCAAATTAGGTTGGTAATTACTTAGGCTGATAAAAATAGTATTCAATAATCGTTGCTTAGGTGAGCCAAATTAACACAGCCTTTGCGTTAAGGAATTACTCATTGATTTTTCGGGAGAAATTTAGGCTTCATTTGGGGAGTGTTTATTCTGTGCAGACATCGTACGGGAGTACTATCCGGTTCCGTACTAGGTACCAAGCAGTACCGAGTGCGGTACATTTTTTGGGGCGACATGACACATTTTTATTGGTTTCCGGACGAATCCGAATCCGCACATAATAATTTTTCTCATTTTGGGATGACATTTTGAAGTTTTTTAAAGCAGCTTTTTAGTTAAAATTTTTTAATTTTTATACTAAAAAGTTGTTTTAAGAAGCAATAAAAAAAAGCTGCCCCAAATGAAGCCTTGGACTAATTAAGCCAATTTAATCAATCATTACATACGCAAAACTTAAACTCAATACATATTGATTGATAGCTAAAGTTCTTAACCAACATATAAAGATGTGTTGCGAATTATTCATTGATAAATGAAAATTTTATGAAAATAAAATTCTTTTTGTTTATATATGTTGTGTTATACTTTCATATCTATAGAGTTTTTCATTTAATTATTTTTTTCACTTCTGATTTGTTGCGTCCTGGAGTATTCGCGACGGTAGAGAAATATATAGTTTAACGTCTTAGCGTTGTACGAAGATCCAGCACACAATCAGATAAGTGAGAGGGTGTAGCGTTCATAAGAGACACCAAAGTTTTTACGTGGAAAACCCCTGGAAAGGGGGGAAAAACCACGGGGCCTAGCCCAGTTTGAATGAATCCACTAGTATTTGTAGTCGGTTACAAATGAGGCCCTTCCTTAGGAGAAGGCCTTGGATTGATGTAGCAAATGTACATCATGTAGATTGCATTACATGGTAAGAGTTACATATAAAGGTTTGTTTGACCTGAAGGACCGTGGTCGGCAGGAGACCGGAGTCAGAAAGACCGTTGTCTGTTGATGGAGGTCGGGAGGACCATAGTAGGCGACAAAGGCCTGAAGAACTGTAGTCGGCAGGAGACCGTAGTCGGCAGGAGACCGTAGTCGGCAGGAGACCGTAGTCGGCAGGAGACCGTAGTCGGCAGGAGACCGTAGTCGGCAGGAGACCGTAGTCGGCAGGAGACCGTAGTCGGCCGGAGACCGTAGTCGGCAGGAGACCGTAGTCGGCCGGAGACCGTAGT